AATATGGGAGGGATTAATAAGAAAATACACTGGAAATAATCAATATAAAAAACCCCCATATGAAACAGTGTTCCAATATAAAGACATCACTATGATATGGAACAAACAAATAATGAAAAGTGATGGACAATATCACAAAATACCAGACAAATACGTATTAAATAAAAAGAACAAAACTGGTCTATTATTTGATATGACTATTGTGGCTGATCACAATATTAATGGAGCCTATTGGAAGAAAAGGAATAAGTATAAGGAATTAAAGAGTAGGCTAATGAAAATAGAAAAATTAAAAGATGTCAAAATAATTCCAGTAGTAATATCAATAAATGGATTAGTAAATAAAGAAAGTATCAGACTAATCAAAGAATTAAAAATTGAAATTGACATTGTTAAAGAAGTAAAAAACCTTGTAATAAAAAACATGATGGATGTCATGGAATACTGCGGAGATCACAACCAAACATACTCCGTAGAGCTGCTAGAAGAAGATGAAGACGAAGGGACGGGATTAGTCTCCCCTGAGCCAGGAAGAATAGAAGCTAGTTCTATTAATACTTAATTAATTGCTTTTTATTTGATTTATTAATTTGACTCAAATAAAAATATTATTAATTTCATGTTAATATTCAAATCAATAATTGTATTATTTCTAACTTGAATTAATTGTCACTCTCTATTGTTGCTCATATATTCAAAATACTCATATATCTTTTTTTCTGATATTTTTCTTTCTTTTTTTTATTAAACCTTGTTTTAATTTTATTCATCTCTTCCATATGAATGATTTTCTCTATTATTTCATTATTTCATTATACTTTCCATTTTATTTTTTACTGTCTTTATTGTATTAATTGTTTCATTTCTTTTTTTTCTATCACTATTTTTCTTCTTCTTTCTGTTTTATCCATTCTATCAAATATTCATTCTCCTCTTTTAATTGCTTCTGAATATGTTTCATTTGGTTTTATTTCAAATACTTCATTTTGAATACTTCCTAGATAATATTGATAATTCTTAGTAGTATCATCAATTGATTGTTGAATATTTGGAAGTGTTTCTACTACTTATTTAATTATTTGATTATTCTTGTTTATTAATTCTTCCATTTTAAATTTAATTTGATGTTTATAAGTTCAAAATAAGAATGAGTAATAATTAAATACAAATTATAGTAGATACATAAGTGCATATTGGTTAAAAAAGAAGAGGTAAAAAAGAAAAAATAAGGAAAAAGATAAAATAGTCTAAAACACTATAGAAGAGGGTTAAAGTTTAAATGAGAAGGAAACAAATAAAATGGATTAAAAGAAATTAAGTTAGATACTATAAAGCTTCCATAAGAAAAGGACATAACAATTTGTTCAGTTAAAATCAGTTTAATTTAGAAGATGTAAAGAAATAATAATATGTATCAAACAAAAGAATAGAAAGAACATGAAAAGTTATAACATAAATAGAAAAGTTGTATATAGAATATATAATGAATATATCTTTATATAGTTAAAGAGTATTAAGTTACATGAATTATTAAAACAAGAAAGAAAAATATTCAATAGTTTATTGAAAAATAGATGTAAAAAAAGAAGAAAAGAATATAAATTAAAATAAAAATAAGTACTAAAGATAAAAAAGAAATAATTTAATTAATAATAGTATTGATAAAGCCATAGCCATTTTTAATAAGAATAAGAGTCAATAGAATTAACTAATTATGCAAAAATAGAAAGAATTAACAATTTAGTAAATTATTAAATTAGCATAACTATAAATAGAAAGAAATAGAAAATATTGAATTATAAATAGTATTAAATAAAAGAAATAGCTTCTAAAGAGAACAACTGAAGAGGTTCAATTTTGTATAAGAAGTAAATTAAAAAAAATAAAAACTAACATTTTATTATTTAATATTTTGTTTATTTACACAGGAAGAACATAAATAGCAAATAATTTTTTAGTTTGAAAAATAATGAAAAATAGATTAAGCTACTAAACATTGAAAAATTTATTTTCAATACTTTTATTTGATAGAAAAAAACCTATTCATCTGAAGATTTTACAAAGAGAAAGTTCAAAATCATTTTTTTACAAAAGAAAAAAATAATCATTTTGAATTTACTAAAATTTTATAAGAAAGAAAAGTCCAAAATAAGAACAAATAAAGTTACATAACATGCTAAGTATTAAATAATTTTGATTAACAAACAATTACAAGGAAATATAAAAAAATATTGTCTAATATAATGTTACTTAAACTGAAAATAAATAAAAGATATTTAACGGTTATTGTTAGATGTCGTCCAAAAAATTGTATACTATTATTAATTATACACAATTAACTCCAGTAATTAAAGTTCAAAGGGTAGTACCAAGAGATAATGTTATAAAAACTTTAGATGAACTTTTTGATTATGATGATATTGATTTTATAATTGGAGAGAGTGGAACAATAAAAGGAGAGCAAGAACAATTAAATTAAAATATAAAAATGTAAATAGGATTTATAAAGAATTTAATAACATTAATATATAATTTTTTGTTATTTCATGTTTTAAAGAAAAAAAAAAGAAAAAGAAAGAAAATAAAAATAACTAAGAATATTCTTTTCATTACATGAATATTAGTGTATCAACTGAATTTACAGAACATGAACAAAATATATTAAAAAAACGATTAATGTTTAATGATAATGTTCTTAATTTTTATTTAGAATATCTTGAAAAGAAATATGGAGATAAATCAGTATGTGTTTTATCAACATTTTTCTTTGAAAATATGAGAAGAGCAAATGATCCAAATGTTGATAAAGAAGGTCAATTTTATCACTGTTCTAGATGGTTTAGTAAAAAAGATTTAGAATTAAAAGACCTTGAATATATTATAATTCCAATTAATGTAGAAAGACATTGGACATTATTAATTTATTGTCTTCAAAGTGATAGAATGTTAAAAGGAGGGAAAAGAAAATTTTGTGAAGAATATGAATTTGATCAACGATTAAATTTATTAAATGAACAAATAAAACTGCTTGCACAAGAAGTTCAAATGAATTTATCATCAGTTGATGAAAATAATATAATAAGTGAACATAAATACAATGAATGTCTTTTATTAATAAATAAAATGAAAGAATTAATTAATCATTTTGAAGTTATTGAATTTGAAGAAGAGAATAAAAGGATTAATGAAGATATTCCATTAAATGAAATAGCTCCATGCGTTTTAAATTTAGATTCATTAAATATAAGTAATACACCAAAATTTTTATCTTATACTATTAATGAATTTATTGCTTGGATGTATCAAAGAATTAATATTTATTGGGATGATCTTGAAGTTAATTGTATTCATGTTAATGTACCACAACAACCATCTAATTGGGAATGTGGTGAATATTTATTATATTTTGTTAGAATATTTCTTCAATACAAACCAAAGACTATTAAAGAATTTCGTTCTTTCTTATTTACTGAAGACCCAACAAAAGAAAGAGATTTAATACAAAATGCAGCAATTGAAATGGGATTTCATTAATTTAAATACAATCAAAAATAGAAAAAAATAAATACTTTTTTTAAATAGTTAAAGGTAAATTCTAATAAAGTTATGAAGAAAATATAAGTGGATTAATAATGAATTTCAATTGGATTTTGTTTCAAAGAAACAAATTATTTCTTTGAAGAAATTTTATAAATTTCTATCGTCTTTTTTTTAAATAAAAGAAAAAAAAACTCAAAAAGGATTAAAGAAACTTGAAATCATAAGTTGAATATGTCATTAGTAGAACAAGTTGAAAGAAAAGTTTATGAAATTAGAAGTTCATATAAATTTGCTGAAAAGTCAATTGATACAGATTTTAAAGAAGTTCATAAAAAGACAAAATTACATTATAAACTTTTAATTCAAACTCTTCTTACACTTCGTCATTATAATGAAAGTCAAAAAAAAATGTTACATAAAAAAGTTGAATTATCAAAGGCTTTAATAGAAATGTCAAAAGAAGATATTCAATTAAATAGTATTGCAACAAAGTATATGACAACATGTGAATGTTTAGAATTAGGACTAACAACATGCTTAACATCAATGGAAGATGATATATTTTTACCATTAAAAGAATATAGTCAACAATATAAAGTTATTGAAGAAAGAATTGTTGAACTAAAAAAAAGACAAATTGATATGGATCATGCTCATAATCGTTATGGAACAAATGTTTTAAAAAATAAACCACAACACATCATTACAAATACTAAAACGAAATATGAACAAGCAAGAGACTTTTATTTCTATTTAAGAAATGAAATTATTGATGATATGAAAAAATTAAATAATAATTATATTAAAATAGTTGAACCTTTCTTTGTTAAATTATTTCAAAATGATATTTTAATTAGAGATATTTATAATGAATCCCTTGATAGTATTGAAAAACTTCTTCCTTCTTTTAAAGAACAAATTGTTGATGTTAAATGGCTTATTACTCAAGATAATGATAGTTTTATTCATCCCCAAAATATTTATACTCAAAGAAAAGAAGATATTACAAATGGTGGTTATAATATGAAAGCAAGTAATATGATTGTTGAAAATGCTCCTATCGACCCTGACTATATTACTGATATTCCAATGATGCCTCCTGAAGAAATTACTCAACCAACAGATCCTCAACAACCATCACTTACACCATTAAGTTTGTATTTTTTTATTATTTTCCTTTATTAATGATTATAATTAATTAGGTGTAATGGAATTATTACCAAATAATAACGATAAATTAATTAAAGAGTCTCAGCCACAACCTCAAAAATATAAAGTTTTATATGACTATGAAACTACTGAAGAAGATGAAATATCTTTAAAAAAAGATGATATTGTTCTTGTATATCGAAAAGATGGAGATTGGTGGGAAGGTGAAGTAAATGGGTTATATGGATTAGTACCATCAAATTTCCTTGTGCTTATGGAATAACAATTAAACATTAATAACAAAGTAATATTCAATTTAAGTTTTTTTTATTTAATTTAGTTTGTGGTCTACGTTGTGGAACATTCAAATTTTTTAGTATTTCTATTTGTGAACGTTGTGTTTGATTTGAACAGTTAACTGTTTGTGATAGAGGTTGTGAAGTAGTAAATGTTTGTGATAGAGGTTGTGAAGTAGTAAATGTTTGTGGTATTTGTCTTGTACTGTATGTCAATGGAATGTAATAAGGATTAGAAGTCATCATTGGTGTTGAATAAATATTATGTCCTGTTGAACATAACATTGGAGATGTAAATACTTGACTTGAAGTACAAGATGATGTTATTAAATTTTGTTGAAACTCATTTATATCTTTTTTTTGAGAATTAAGTAATAATGGTTCTTTCTTTTGTTTCAGTTTTTTATTTGTTTCTTGTTGTTTTGTAAATTGTTCAAGAATACAAGCATCACACACTTTTCTTGGTGCACCACCTGCAACTAAAGCAATCTTTGTTGTTGCACATGTATTACAAACTTTTTTGTTACATTTAGCACAGACAATAAATCCAGGAGATGAATATGAAGCAAGTCTATTCAAAGATTTCCTGCAACAAGGACATTCATCTTCTGCTGCCTTCTTTTCTGCTAATTTCTTTACTTGAACTGGGATTAACTCAGTAATTTTATCATGGAATAATTGTCCATCTTTCTCGTTAAGAAAAACTAATTTAATGTTTCCATCTTCTTTTGTATATAATTCAAATTCTGTTCTTTCACCAGTCTGACGTTTAATACGTCCTATAATCATTACATATTTAACGTCAATCCTTTTATTAACTGTTTCAGCAAATATTAACATATCAGTAACAAAGATTAATGTTAGTTTCGTTAATTTCTCTTCCCAAGTAAGAACAACAGTAGTTTCCATTACAAATTCTCTTCCAGGACAAACAAATTTTGGCTGAAGACTCTTTGGAAGACGACTTTGTATTTCAAGTAATTTTCTTCTTCTTTCTTCATCAGCAATAGATTCATTAATTGAAATTCCAAGTACCTTAATTTGTTCTAATGCTGTAGCTAATGCAGATTTTCCTAATGTCCCATCAGGTGTATTTTTTAATAAATCTTGAAGAAGTAAACGATATCGAGGGACTCTTTGAACTGGCATAATAAGAAAAGAATTTAAATCTAATTTCATTGTATCAGGACCTTGAATTGATTGTCTTAATGTTTCAAGATACTTTGCATATTTCTCTTTCTTATATAGTCTATCAGCAATATTTAATGCATAAGCATTATTAGCAACATACAAATTATATCCTTTTAAATATGACTGCATTTGAATAAAAATATTTCCTATTTCTGACTCAAAGCAATTGGATTTTTTTGATTCATCAAATAATCTTATTAATTCTTGTGAAATTGTAATAATAGTATCTAAATATTTAAACATTTCATTAGTCTTTTCTAATGGTATAATAGGAGGCACATGACTAATCATATCCTCAAAATAAACTGTTTGACAAATTTTTAAAAAATTTAAATATGAGACTTCAGTATTATAAATTTCATCTAATATTCTTTGACGCTTACTCAATTCCATAGTTATGTATTATGTGAAATTACTTTTTTAAGTTCTTTTAGATTCACCTAAAGAATATTAAAATAATTTTGTAATTCTTTGAGCTTTTTTTCTCAATTTGAAGAAGAATAACTTATTTTTTTATTTTATGTTTACTCAACTAGAAGGGGGGTATATTGCTGTTATCCAAAAATATCCATATGTTGATGGAGATGATCGCTTATGGTTAAAATTAGGAAAGGAATATACTATTAGTAAAGAAAAGTCATCAAACGTTATTGTAAATATAAAATCAAAATGGGAACTTATTGCCTTTAGCCAAAATGCTATTATTTCGTTTGTATTTTTTTTAATTATTCTTTTTTTTTATGTATTATAATAAAATTCAATGAATCTAACAAATTAAGTGGTAATGGATTAATCATAGTTAATGGAAAAGAATATAATGGAACAGCTGAATTAAATGATAATGACATATTCAAGTTAGAAGATATTTGTTTTCAATTCTCAATGAAAATTCATTCATTAACTATTCCACAGATTGTTTGTTAATGTTTTAATGTTATTGTTAAAATGAAAGTGTTTTATATATACAAGATATTTTACCTTTAATTTAGCAATATCCTGATTTATTATTATTTGAACTACAAAGAAAATACCCTTCTGAAACTTGGCTTGAACAAATTAACTCAAATGACTTATTAAATTCAATAAATAATAATATACCTAAGTTAGTTTGTTATTTATCTATCATCAGTTTCTTAAAAACATGTTATTCATAATTTTAAATAGTCAATTCAGTCAACTCAAATTATTCAACACCTTTTAAATGATATTTTCATCACTCAGATTGATTACAACCAACTTAAACAATTAAAAGAATATTATGAAGTTCAAAAAATAAAAAAAATTGATTCTTTTACTTTAACTGGTCCTATCCAATCTGACGCTAACCATCAACAATCTGAAAAACTCCTTTCAGTTGCAGAAACGGATCAATTTCAATCAAATCCTCCTTCATCTGATTCATCAAAATCAAAAGAAAGTACAAAACCTTTCTTACAAAAAAAATTAAAACATTCTAAAAATTCCAAACATCATCATAAAGATAAGAAAATCCAATTTAATCCCATTTTTAAATCTTCTCCAAAACACTTCTCTCAGTTACTTTCTTCTTCTACATCGAGTTCTATTTCAAAACCAATAGAAATCCAATTAGATCCTAATGAAAAAAGTCCTTCTGAATTACCTAAACCTCGGAAGTTAGTTCGTAGTTTTGAATTATCAAAAAAAGTTATTGAACAAAATGAAATACCTCAAATACAAAAAACTCCATTTGAAGAAGATGATATTGATCTTTCTGCTGTATTACAATTACTTGATTCTGGATCTCAAAAACAACAAGAGAAATAATTGTTTTATTACTTCCCAACTAAATCCTTTTATATTGTTCTCTTTAACATAATAAACTTCTATACTTCTTTTTAATGCAATATCTTTAATTTATTTTTATTTAAACAATATTTTTATTACATTATAACTCAAACTTTATGCCTTTTTATCATCTCCAATTGTTATTGATTTTTAGTATAATCTATTGTATCATTGTTGACTCATACTATCTTCTTTAAGTACAAGTCATATGTAATATTTCCTGTTATTTTGAGTTTATTTATGAAAAATATATTGTTATAAAAATATCTTCGTATTTACAATAAATATTTATGATAATATCATACTTACTTAAATACTTTTGAAACTCTTTTATAAAAATAATTTAGTTATTTGTGGTTTTATACTGTAAAATGTAAAAAGTCTATAATAAAGAAAATTATTATCATCTTTGTATTAACAAAAGACAAGAACACATTCATATTCTAAAGTATAAATCAAGCAGAAAACAATAATATGTGTATAATGAATATTTAACTATAAATAATACATGAAGATAAAAATAATTCTGTAGAATAAATCCATATAATCAAATTAATGTTCAAACATATTAATGAATATAATGAATTTAAACTATTTTAATTTAATTCAATTAATAAATAAGAAGCAAAAAAAAAGAAACAAAGATGAATAAAATGAATAAGAAACAAAAGAACTTGTTTAACGCTAACTAAATGATATTCAGAATATGAGTTTTAAAGAAGAACATAATGACAATAGTGTTATAGATGAATTAAAACATGCCATTAAGAAAATGAAAAAAATTGAACAGATTGAACAAACATATGGAATTTTTAATTCTATAAATGACATCCCATATAAAGAGTCTCCTGCTTTACATATTGAGTTTATTAGCTCTAGTGATTCAGAGAGTCAAGACTATAAAAAAATATCATCAAAAGACTTAACTACAAAATAATATTCATCAAATAGTATATAACATAACATATTTATAACAAAAAGTTAATTAATATTATTCATTTTATTTTATAATTTAAAATAAACTAAACACAGACGTTAATAATTGAATTTTCAAAATTACTTAGCAATTCCTCCTTTTTTCATTGGCATAAACTTTTTCTTTTCTTCAAGTTCTCTTTGCATCCACCACATTAATCCTTGTCCAGCAGCTGCTGCTGCCTTTTGTTGATTTAAATATTCTTCAGCTTCTTCCATTTTCTTTTTCATTTCTTCAGCAGCAGTTTCAGCTTCAACACGAGCTTTTTCTGATTTTTTCTTAGCAGCTTCACAAGTAATTTTAGCTTTTCTCAATGGTAATGGATCAGACTCAATATGTTGAGCAAGTTCAGCTTGTGCTCTATTCTTTTTAACAACACCAGTCTCTTTTTCAATTTGTGCTTTTAATTGTTCTGTTTTCTTATTAAATTCATCTTCTTCTTTTTTCAATGCATTAAGAGCAGTTTCAAGCTCTTTATCTCTTTTAGTAGCTTCATCTGCTTTTTTCACTGCTTCATTAAGTAAAACAGAAACTTGGTCAACCATTTCTTGTGCTTTTTGCATTTCTGCTGATTGAGCACCTTGAGGAGCATTAATTAACTTCTTTAATGGCATTTTGTAGTGCCATGCTAAGAACACACAAAGAGCAAACAATTTTTTAAATTCAAATTGTTGGTTTCTTAATGATTCTCTGAATTGTTGAATTGTTTGGTGTTCATTATAATGTTCAAGAATTCTGTGAATATTTAATTCATCAAGAGAGCATCCATCTGCATGATTTTCTGGATCAAATTCACCAAACTTATTACAATAATCCCAAACGTTTTCAGCTTCAGCTTCTCCATTTTCTAACCAATAAGCGTTCAAAAACCAAATAGCTTGTTCTTTATATTTTTTATTACAAAGGTCTTGTAGTTTAGTTTTTTCAATATCGTTTAAAGACATACTTTTCTTTTAAATTATTTTCTTTTTAGATCTCTTTAAATAATTGAAAAGTCTTTAGAGGTCAATAAAGGTAATTTTATTAGTTCTTTTAAGTTCTAGAGGTAATTGAAAATACTAAAAAACTTGATTATATAAAATAATATTTTTATTATTAAAAAATAAATTAACCAAAAATGTTAAGAAAAAAAAATCAATGAGAACGTCCAAAAGCTTGTGTTTTTCCATCACTAAATTCTTCTCCAAAGAAACCTGTATTAAATAGATAGGTAACAGAGTTATCTAAAGATTGTTGTGTTTCTGAAAGGTCAAGAGATTGCTCTTTAACCCATTTGTATTCAATATCTAATGACCCACTCATTTGCATAGATGGAAGTAATGATAATACTTCTTTATTTCCACTTTGTGCTAATGAAATAAGTTGTTCTTTAATTTCATTCATTGGTTTGTGTTCAATAGTTTTATTCATTCGTTTAGCAACAAGATCACAAACATAACTAATATCAGCTGGATGTAATGGTATTAAATTAGCTGCAATAGGAAGATTATCAACAGCTTCAATAAATGCATTAGCAACTAAATCAACTGGAGTAAGAATCATTTTTTGTTCATTTGGAGAAAGTCCATTATTTACAAGTAAACGTACTAACTTCCAAATAAAGTCATCAGTATTAGAACAACCAGATACAGAATTACCAGAAATAAAAGCTGGTCTTAAAACACCAATCTTATATCCAAAGCATCTTAACTTATTTAAATAAAGTTCATTCATCCATTTGGTTTGAATATATCCATTTGCTTTAAATGGTAAAACAGTACCATCTGGTATTATTTCTTTACCTCCAACACATGCAGCTACTCCAATGGATGATACATAAATAAATGGAACTTTAGCTTTTGTAGCGAATTCTATGACATTTTGAGTTCCAATATAATTAGAACCTCTCATATCAACATAACTTCTATTCCAATTAACAAATGCAGCGTTGTGAATAATTAGTCCAATTTTAGAAACAATAGAATTAAAAACATCATCTTTTAATCCACATTTTACTAATGAAACATCTCCACAAATAATTTCGATTTTATTAAGGTCAAGTGTTATTTGAGAATTAGTTGCTGATTGTGTAATTCGTTTCCATCCATCACTAATTGTTAATGATCTAACTAAACAAATAACATGATATCCTTTCTTTTGAAGTGCTTGAATTAAATGAACTCCAAGAAATCCATTAGAACCAGTTAAGAAAGCAACTTTCTTTTGGTTTGATTCAATTTGAATTGGTTCCATTTTAAGGTTTTGAATATCTTCAATATCTTTCTTAAATTGTGGATGAATAAGGTCAAGTTTTGGATTTAATACATATTCCTCTAAAAGGCCTATTGTTGGACATTTAGTTAATAAATCAAATGGTGCATCTGAAACAAATTTTCTAATTAATCCTACAGTCTGACTACCAACTAATGAATCTCCTCCAATATCAAAGAAATTCATATCTTTTGAAATAGCTTTTTGTGGAATTTCAAACCATTCTGACCATAAAGAAGCAATAGCATTACCAGCTTCAGTTGATGGAGGACATGGATTATTTTCACATTTATTTTGCCAATACATTTTAATTTTTTCTGCAGCCATCTTTCTAAGTTCAGGATTATATACTTTACCAAAACTGTTTAATGGCATCTTTTCTATTACAAAGATATGTGTTGGTACTGCAAATGATACTAATCTTTGTCTACAAAATTCTTTTAATTCACTTTCTTTTGTTTCTTTCTTTAATGTAACAAATGCAACAATAAGTTCTCCTTGTGCTCTATCTGGAACAGATACACATCCACATAAAACAACATTAGGATGTGTTTGAAGAGTATCAACAATTTCTGATGGGAATACATTATGACCACCTCGAATAATCATGTCTTTAACTCTTCCAGTGATAATTAGTCTTCCATATTTATCTAAATTACCTTCATCACCAGTCTTAAACCATCCATCTTCAGTATAAGATTCTTTATTTGCTTTTTCATTATTTAAATAACCAGACATCATAATTTTAGTATGGACTTCAATCTCTCCTGGAACTCCAACTGGTGTAATTTTACGAGTTACATGGTCAACAATTCTTAATTCATAATGTGGTTGAAGTTGTCCAACTGTAGTAGTCATTGTATACATTACACCACATGTTTCAGTCATACCATAACCAGATTTACAATCAAGAAGACCCATTTTATTTTGTGCTTCATTCATTAAAGCATCACTAACAACTGCACCTCCCATAATAACATGTTCTACAGTTTTTACTTTTTCTGTACTAAAACTAGGATGATGAATAAGTGCTAAAATACCAGATGGAGCACAATTAACGTTAGTAATTTTTTCTTCTTGAATAAATTTAAGAATACTTTCTGGTTCAAATTTATCACAAACAACAACTGTTGCTCCAGCGGCAAAAATAGCATCAATTTGGAAGTGTGCTGCTGTAGTAAACAATGGTGTAAAACAAAGAGCTCTTCTTCTTTCTACTGGAGTATTTGTAGTATGATCAATAGTGATGAATGGATTAATCATTGCAAAATGGGTATAAGTACAAATTTTAGGTTCTCCTGTTGATCCAGAAGTACATCCATAAAATGAAATATCATTTGGTTTTAAAATTTCAGACACCTCTTTTATGTAGTTTCTTTCACAAGGAGTAGAAAGAAATTTTTTTAAAGAATAAATTTTATTTGAAGGATCTTCTTCTAAATTAGAATCAATAAAACAAACATTATAACCATTTGGAATGTTTTGTTTCATTGCAGTCAATGAGATAATTACTGATGGATTTACTCTTGGTAAAAGTCTTTCAAGTTGTGGTTTTGTATATAATGGGTTTAATGGCATCATTATATAACCTCCACATAATGCAGCTAATTGTGAATAAATGTATTCACAACAATTTGGAAGATAAATAGCAACAACTGTATGTAATTCCATATGAATTTCATTTTTAAATCCTTGAATTACACAATTTAATGTATTAAGTAACTGTGAGTATGTATGTCTAATATATGCTCCTGTTCTACTAGACCTAAATACCAAACATTCTTTATTAGGATTCTTTTCAACTATTTCTAAAAAGTGTTTTGGGTATGTAGTTTCTTTTAAAGGAATATCAATATTTCCAATAAGATGTGATTCAGTCAAACTCATATAACTCAAAATATTTTTAAAGTTCTTCTTCTTCTTTTTTTTTTGATAAATTTGACTTCCATTTTGTATAAAATAATAAAAAAAAAACTATAATAATATAATTTTACTTATTCAAAAGAAAAGAAAAAAGAAACTGCAAACAAAAACGAAATTTCCACAATTAATTTTGTTGTAACTTTTCATTTTCAAACCTCTTTTTAAATGTTTTAGAAACTAATTTTTCAGTCTTTGTTAATTTTCTCTTTTCTTTTGAATCAATTCTTGCTTGAATTTCACTAATTGTTAATTCAGGTTTTTGAGAACGATGACAATACACACACTTTAACCGTTCACAATTAGCTAATTTATTTCCTTCTAAAATCTTTGCACAACAACAACATCTAAAGCATTTTGTATGATAAAGTTCATTACCTCTTTGAGAACAAGGATCTTCTCCAGTGATAAGAAGATTACAAAATCGACATACCATTGAAATTGATTCTCCAGAATCTAAATTTTCCATTACAAATCCACAATCAACAAATCCATATGACTCTTTAGGTGGAAGACGATTAAATGGACATAAAGCTTCGATTTGATATTCATCACTCTTTTGTTCTGCTCTTGTATTGAAAAACATAAAACACATTTGAGAATCTTCAAAACTTTCAAAAAATAGTTTATCATCTTCACTTAGTTTAGATACAAAAGCATCTCTATCAAATGAATATTTAATTCTACCACCTGGATTAGCTTTAAAACATTGAAAATAATTATGAAATATTTTAAAGAAGAATAACTGAAACATATTATAAATAGTATCATTCTTTAATTCAATATTTTCATCTGGATCTGGATCATTCTGAATTAATGATAATTGTGAACGAAGAAGAATAGAACTGGGAGAAGTAAATACCATTGGAAAGACAGGTCCTTCAATCTGTTGTCCTTTTTCTAAGTCAATAACAATAGTATCTTCCATTCCCCCATCACATTCTTTCTTTACATGTTCCCATAAAGATGTTTTAATTCCAATTAAATAAGGCATTGGTGCAGTTGGGTATGAAGCTAATTGAACAGGTAAAATAGGAATTAATACATGATGCCAAACAAAAGGATAAATCAATGATGTTAAAGTAAGGATTGTATCAGATAATGAACCAATTGAATTTGATAAAAATACAAATTTTCTTTCCATCATAATATCACCAATTATATCAACTAAAAATGAAGCACCAAATAATTTTAAAATATTTAAAACATTTGATGAATGGTGTTTACTAAAATCTTCTTCTGAAGATATTTCATAAGGAATATGATGAAATGATATGTTTGTTAATACACCATTAATTGATGGTACATTTTGTTTTGCAATATCTTCAAAGAATTTAGATAATAAATTTATTGATATTTTACGTATTGCAACAGCTTTGTCTAATATTTTTTTAAATAAAGATTCAAATGGTCTATTTATTTTTATTTATTCTAATTTCGTTAAAATAACTGACAAACCTCTCTGCAATAATACAAAAACATTCAGGAAATTTAAAATTAGAAAATCGTCTACAATAAACATATCTTCGATTAGCACTAATATCTGTTAGGATAAATGCAAATGACTCTTGTTTTTCATAGTCAATATGATAATTTAATCCATCTTTTTTATTTATCATTGAATCTCCTTCTGGAAAACAAAATGGAAAAACCATATGTTGTAAAACAGTGTCTTTGTATGGATGTTGTGATATACATTCGTATGACATTCCTTCTTCAATTTGAGTACATTTAAAATGAATAATATTTTCAATTAATTTCTCTTGTTTTTCCATTTTTGGTTTTTAATATCAATGGATTTATTAGTTTCTTCTAATTTTTTAGTTGTATTTTCTATTTTTCTTATTTTTGTTTTTTGGAATTATTTATAGAATATTATTCTCATTAAGAGTTTGTCATCATTGACATTATTGAAAATATGATGACTAGATTGAAGATATTCATATGTTATAAATATAATGAATATCTAGGTAGTATTAAATTAAATAGATGAATTTTACAAGGTGATTCATTATCAAATCTACTCTTCATCATACAGATGAATGTAATTTCTCAAATCATCGAAGAGAAATTCCCAAAATCAAATCACACATTATATATGGATGATTTGAGAATAATGACAGAAAGTAGTGAAGAAATGGGAATAATCCACAATGAAATTAATGAAATAATAAGTTACGTATTGAAATGAATGAGAAAAAGTCAGGAATGGTATTAAAAAACATTAAAGAAATACCAAATGGAATGCAAAACATCAATGTAATTGAAGGTGATGACTTGTATAAATACTTAGGAATATGGCAGTCCGACGAAATTGATGACACCTTCAATTGTAAAACCATCAAAGAAAAAATGAATCAAAAGATGGAAGAAATAAACAGTGATGAAAGTAGTAATAGAAGATATATTACTAGAATAAACACGGAAGTAATCCATATCTTCAGATATTCAGCATCAGTTGTAAATTGGAAAATCACTGACCTAGATAAAATTGAAAAGGAGATAAGAAAATATTTAAGAAAGGCAAAATACAATGGTGAAACTCCAAAGATCGGTTGTATGTTATTATAGAAGAAATGAAGGATTAATAAATATAAGTGACGAATATGTTATTGAATTAGTAAGAACAGTAATGTACTATTGTACCAGAGAAAGTGAAATATGAAATAACATATAGATAGATGGTACAATAAGAAATGAATATGGAATAGAATTAAAAACATCAATTCATAAAATAAATGAAACAAAAATAGAAGAAATAATAAATGAAGGGATAGAAAAGAAAAAAGAAAAAGAAGTAGTAGTAGAAATAAAAAAATTATTAACCGACCAACACATCAAAAAATGGAAATGTCATCAAATAAGTGGACATTTTAGAAGATGGTTCGAGTCAAAAGGAGTAGATAAAACTAATACAATGAAAGCATGGAAGTCAATCAATATTAAAAAGAATGCATTTCTCCAATTAACTAAAATGCAAGATGGTGCAATATTTTGTGGGTATAGAAAAACAAAAATAATGAAAAATGAAAGATTAAAATACTCCACACTTTGTAAAGACAAGATAGCAACAGTAAAACACATTCTACTATCTTGTATTTATCATAATAAATCACAAATAGAGAAACATGACCATATAGGCATAATCATATTGATTAATAAGAAAATATACATTCAATAAACAATATAAAAATAAAATATGAAACAATGTTCAAATATAAAGACATTACTATGATATGGAACAAACAAATAATGCCTAAAAGTGATGGACAATACCACAAAATAACAGACAAATACGTATTAGATAAAAAGAATAAAACTGGTCTATTATTTGATATGAATATTGTGGCTGATCACAATATTAATGGAGCCTATTGGAAGAAAAGAAATAAGTATAAGGAATTAAAGAATATTCTAATGAAAATAGAAAAATTAAAAGATGTCAGAATAATTCCAGTAGTAATATCAATAAATGGATTAGTAAATAAAGAAAGTATCAGACTAATCAAAGAATTAAAAATTGAGATTAACATCGAGAAAGAAGTAAAAACCATTATAATAAAAAACATGATGGATGTCATGGAATACTGCTTCAATCACAAACATACTCCGTAGAGCTGCTTGAAGATGAAGAAGAGATGTGATTAGTCTCCCATGATTCAGGAACAATAGAAGCTATTTCTATTAATACTTAATTATTTGCTTAATTATTTTGTTTAATTATTATTTAAAACAACTAACAACTAATAACATTCAATGAATAGTAAATAAATTAAATTAGTTATCATTTGAAATACAAGTGATGGAAAATACATTTTTTAAATTCAAAATGAAGAAAAGTGTTTTGAAAGAAAATAATAACACAAAACTAAAGAAACAAAATGAATGTAATGAGAAAGTGATAAATGAAATATGTTTATTATTAATATATTTGTGTTACAAGACATATGAAGAATGAAAAGAATATGAATAAATAATTGATATTGTTTTGAATTTCAACTAGTTTTCATAAAATAATAAATCAATGAATAGAATAATACAGAATAATTCCACAATATCAAACATTTGAAGACATGGTTGTATCGATTTGATTAAATAATATTGTTGTATTCATAAAAAAGTTCATGAAGAAAACAAAAGTAGATAAGTGATAACAAAAATTGTTGGAATTTTTATTGGAATAACTGTAAAATATTCATTTCTATTATGTTTTGTTGATTCAAAAGATTCATCTTGTTATGATAATACACAAAGATAAAATGAAATTGTAAGGATGATGACAATGAAAAATGTTAATAACACCAATTAATGTAGAAGAAGTTGAAAAAGAGACACTCTTTATCATAGTATTACTGAAGAAAAAGATAAAAAAGATAGAAACATTAAACGAGAAAAGAAGAACGAAATAAATAAAAGTAAAGAAATTGCAAAGAAATACAAGAATGAAATACATAGAAGAAATTAGTTATTGTGATTTGGAAATTGAAAGAACTGAAATTAAATAAATTATTCTTTCTAAAAAATCAACAAGAAGAAGAACACGAAAGAAATAAAACAATGAAATAAATAGAAAACAAAATTCCCAAAATATTTGTGTTTGTAAAAGAAGATATTGAATTTATTGATTAAGAAACTAGAAAATAATTTGTCAGTATTATTTATCATAAAGAAGAAATAATTAAAAAGATAATAATTATGTATAATGATTGAACATCATTAGAAAGACGACATGATTCTATTTCTACTGTATGTTTGATGAAGTAATTTAAAAGCATTAAATAAACTAATATAAAATATGATAGTTTATATTTTAAATAAACAATAATTTAAATAAAATGAATAATAAATGAACTAATTAATTAATATATGAAATATGAAAGTTCAATAACATTTTATTCAATGAAATATTAATTATTTATCATTCTTTTTATTTCATTTTGTTTAAATTACATTATTCTCATTATTATTCATTTCATTACTTTATTAATATTGATTATTAATTAATTTGAAAATACAACAAAGAATCATTCTTTCATATTTCTTTGTTTTCTTTACCTGTTAGATCGAAGGTGACATATCTGAAACACCACACACAAACACTCATACAATTCAAACTTCAACCCTCCCAGTTATTATCGGATTATGACGGTGTATTTGAATTAGAAATGTATTAGGTAAAGTTGCAAAGGGTGGAGCAAGAGAATATAGTAGAATATTACATTGTTGTAATATAAGGAACTACTGAAGTGTGGGTTAGACTAAAAGAAGATTAGTCAAAGTAAGACTAGTAGTAATGAAATGATTCCTTCTCCCATTCATAAAATAAGAAAAATGCAAATCCTTAAAATTAAGGTAGAAAATAAACAAAGGCTTAAAAAGAAGAAAAATATTTATCGATAAAAAAATGAATTAACATATTGTTGATAAATTCCATTTTTATTACCTTTTTTCATTACCATTAATTATTGTTGAGATTGGTCATATGCCAATTTACACTCTTTTAACTCTTTTTCTCCAAAAACAATCCCATCTGCTGTCATAGAAACATTTCTCCACTCATCTTTTAATGTTGCTTGTCTTAATTGGATTACTACTTCATCAATAAGTCCATTAAAAAGATCACCATGTATTAATAATAGAGCAGAACTTACCTTTACTAACCAGACAAATCCTTCTAATAAAAACATATCCCATATTTTTAATGTTACACATTTATCAAAATTAATACTAAATAATGCTGTTAGCCATTGACCAACAACAAGAAGTAATGGTGTATCTTTTTCTTGGAAGTATTTAGTTAATGAAGGAACACGATGTTTAATAACCCATTCAATACAAAATACTGCAAATTTTAATAAAGGTAATCCATCACAAAATAATCCATATAAATTTAAGTCTTTCATAAAATAAGTAAAAATCCATAATGTATCTTCGGGATTTTGGGTAACCAATAAAATTTGTCCTGCCAAAAATGACATTCCTTGACAATATCCTGTTTTTGGTAATAAAATAGCAAAAGATCGTAAGATATCTCTTAAGTCAAGTCGTTTATCTTCAGTCATTTGTGGATCATTTGGAAATGTTCTATTTACATCTAAATCAATTTTTTGACCAATTTTTTTAAATTCTTCATCATTTATCATTCTTACTTCAGCTTGTGCACATAAACTTTGAAATAAGTCTGGATTTTTTATAGTATATTGTTCAGGATTAGCCATTGTTAGCCAGTATCTTAGTCTAGTTTTATTATCAATTGACTTTACAAAACGACGAATAAATGCTGGAGCTTTCATTTCAATTTCCTCCCAATCATCAAATACTTGTTGTGCAGTGTATTTAGAATAGTCTGGTTGTTGTTCAAATGAAGATGGTGTATCTTCAGGTTTAGATGGTGTATCTCCCATAAATTAAAATGATATTCCCAGATGGGAAATTTCCTTGTTTTTATAATTGCAAGTTCTAAATTTTATTCCATAAGAATTTCTCATGATAAAACTCTTTTTTGTACGGTTGCAAAAATACTTTAGTTGCTAACATATTAAAATGTGATTCAAAACAATATCTTAACAAATCCCTAAAATAAGTTTTGAGATAGGTTAAAAAATACTCAAAAACTAAAACAATAAATTAATTAAAATCTTGGGGAAACTTATTGGAAAAGAGAGGACATAAACATAACTCAAAGAAGTAAAGGAAAGAGAAGTGCTAAAGGTGAAAAGAAAAGTCAACTAAAGATTTTTCAACTAGAACTTCAAACAACTTGAACTTGAAATTTTCAAAATATGAGGGAAGTAATAACAATACACATTGGTCAAGCTGGATGTCAACTTGGAAATAAATGTTGGGAGCTGTTTTGCCTTGAACATGGAATTCAACCAGATGGAACAGCTATTGCCAATACTAATGAAAAAAGGTCAGTTATAACTAATGATGGTGACACTGCTTATAATGCCTTTTTCCAAGAACTCCAAAATGGAAGACATGTTCCACGTTCAGTTTTTGTCGATACTGAACCTACTGTAATTGATGAAATTAAAACTGGAGAATATTCTGGACTTTATCATCCTGAACAATTAATTTGTGGTAAAGAAGATGCATCCTCTAATTTTGCTAAAGGAAAAACAGGATATGAACCATTACTAAATCAAACAATGGATGCTATTAGAAAAGCTACAGAAAATTGTACAGGATTACAAGGATTTTTCATTTATAATTCTGTTGGTGGAGGAACTGGAAGTGGTTTTACTGCAGCATTATGTGAGAAATTAGCAGACAAATATACAAAAAAGACTAAATTGAACACTGTTATTTGGCCATCACCAAAACTTTCTAGTGGAGTTGTTGAGCCATATAATGCTGTGTTAAATACTCATGCTATGATGAAATTTGTAAATTGTACTTTTATGGTTGATAATGAATCAATTTATAAAATATGTCAAAAACAATTAGGAGTTCATAGTCCATCATATTTCCATTTAAATCAATTAATTGCACAAGCCATGAGTTCTATTACTGCATCATTAAGATTTGAAGGTACATTAAATGTTGACTTAAATGAATTTCCAACTAATCTTGTTCCATTCCCAAGAGACCATTTTGCTATGATGTCATATGCACCAATTGTTACACCAGAAAAAGCTATTAGACAAACATTATCAGTTCAAGAACTTACATCATCATTATTTGATCCAAATAGTTTAATGATTCAATGTGATGATATTAATAAAGGTAAATTTATGAGTTGTTGTATGATGTATCGAGGAGATGTTTCATCACGTGAAGTTAATCTTGCTGTTAGTGGAATTAAGAAACAAAATACAGTTCCATTTGTTGGATGGTGTCCATGTTCATTTAAATGTGGTATTAATAGTCAACCAGCTACTGCTGTTCCTGGTAGTTCATATGCTTCTACTGCTAGAAGTGCATGTATGATTGCTAACCATACAGCTATGTGCCAAGTATTCCAAAAAGTAAATCAAAACTTTGACTTAATGTTTGGTAATAGAGCATTTGTTCATCATTATGTTGGAGAAGGAATGGAAGAAAATGAATTTACTGATGCACGACAAGACTTATATGAACTAGAAGTAGAATATGCCAATCTTGCTTTTGACAATACAGCTGAAGGAGAGTCAATGACAGCACAATAAGAATTATTTTTTGTTAGTAATTCCTTAGTTTAAATTTTTTATTTAAAACAGAGAAAAAAGACGTTCAAACTTTCTTTAAGTAAGATGAATTAATTTAAAAAAAAAGATATATATCTCGCCAAAGATAATAAATAATTTTTGTAACTTATTTTTGTTAAAAGACACAATGAATAATTATTAAAGCTAACAGAAACAAAGCACTATTCAGTAGAAAAAAATAAAAGAAGGAACCGAAAGTTGATTTTTTGTTTGTTAATTCATTTTTATTTTTTTTTGTATTTATATTAGGTAACTTAAAACTGTGCAAAAACAGTGCTATGGAAAAGTTAGCTAGTCGGTTAAGAACATCAACCTTTTATGGTTATTATATGAAATATAGACTTCTTTGTCATAATAAATTAATAAGGTTCTTTATTGGTGAGTTAATTGGTAGTTATTATTTATTCTATCTTACAAATTGTACTGCTTACCTTAATTATCCAACATATATTTGTTCTCTTTTAGTTATTTTTGGATTAGGACCAATTATTGAAATTCTCTCACCAGTGTGTAATGGGCAATTTAATACTGGTATCTCTATTGTTTTCTTTCTTAGAAGAGGACAAACTTTTTGGCAAACACTAGTTAGTATTGTTGCTCAATTTTTAGGTGGTTTATTCTCTGTTTTAACTCTAAACCTCTTCTTTACTGATAGTCTTATTGCTTTTTCTTCTAAGACATATAGTTTTATCCAAGTTCTTTCTGAATGTTTTGGCAGTTTCATATTAATATTTGTATTAATGTTAATTACTTATAGAAAACAAAGTGCTGCTCTTCTTATTCCTGGAGTGATTGCTGCTGGATGTATTGCATTACCAAGTGGAATGATTGTCAATCCATTTATTGTTGTTTGTCGATTAATTTCCAATTCAAACAATAACATTTCATGGCAAAGTTGTTTAGTATTATTATTCTCTGAATTTATAGGATTTGCACTTGGTTTTTTAACTGGAGAATTTATTCTTGTTGAAGGAGAGCGTGAAGTTCCTGAGAATTATTATAAATTAGAAAATGTAGAAATAAAATCAGAAACTTCAAACCAACTTGAAAGTGTTTTCGTTGATTCTCAACAACCAATCAATGAAGAAATTCCAATGAATTAAAATTGAACGTTTAATTTTTAGATTATATTTTATCTTCTTCATTTTACTTGTATACTTTTTTTCTTTTAAATCAGATAAGTATAAAAAAAATATCTTTATATTACATTTTCAATGTTTAAATACTTTATAAAGTTATTATATTAAAAAATATAAAAAATCAATTGAAATAAAAGGAACTGCACAGTTAAAGGAGTATTTTTACGTAATGAGAAGATACCCATCCTCTACTTCCATCAATTGTTTCAGCACCAAGCCATCCTTCTGGATCAGAATCATCAAAAATAATAATTTTTTGACCTCTTTTAATAGATAATTCAGTTTCAGTTGAAGAATCATAATCATGAAGAGCAACAGCATATTTTTCAGGTGGTACACAAGCTCTTATTTCATTGTCATAAATTTCTTCTGGTGCAATGTCATCATCTTCATCATATTCTTCATCAGAATATTCACCTTCTTCTTCTTGATCATACTGCTCATCCTGTTGGTCATATTGCTCATCCTGTTGATCGTATTGTTCTTCTTCTTGTTGTTTTTCAGAATCTTCTTGTTGTTCAGGTTCTTGTTGAATAATAGGTTTTGAGTAATTAGTAACATGTGGTGGTGCAGCAGCGATACTAATTTTAGATGGAGGAGGTGGTGGTGCAGCAGCAACGACAACACCAGTAGTAGGATTTGAAGTAGTAGTTACAGTGATAGGGGTTGGAGGAGGTGGTGCAGCATTAACAGGAGTAACAGGTGTAGAAGAGGTAGTTGTAGTTTTTTTTTTCTCTTCTTTCTTTTTATCATGATGATGGTGATGGCGTTTTCCAGTGTCATGTTTTTTACGTTCCAAAGGGGGAAGACCTTTTGATTTTCTTACTTGATTAATTAATTTTCTAAATGAATCTTTCCAATATTCACCATCTTCTTCTCCTTCTACAATCAATTTCCAAGTTCTTTTTTCAGTTACTAATTGAAATCCATATCTCATTGACCCATCTTTATCTTTATTTCTTGTAGTAATCATATCAGTAACTTGAGACATATCTATATGTCCTTTTAATGAACTGCAAGAGTCATTAGTATAATAGTCTAATCTGAATGGATTACGTGGAGTAGTTTGGAACCATCTTTTCTTCCAGCTTTTATGTGAACCACCTTGTTTTGTTACCCAACCACGAATGGCTGGAATGGAGTCTTCATCAATATCGAAGCTCATAATTATATATATCAAATTTTAAAGTTCTAGTTCTGTATATTTTTATAGAAAATAAATGGAATGTTATTTTTAATATTTATATTATTCTTTTTAAATTCATTTTCTCTTTTATTATATATCGATTTTTATTACTACTTCAATATATTATTCTTTTTTGATTTATTAATAACTACTACTAAGCAGTTATTTATTGGTTCATTTATTAGTTATGTTATTGTTTTATCTTTTTTATAAGTAAGTCTATGAAGAAGATTCTTTTAAGTTAGAAAAAGAAATGACTGTTTTTTTTTTATCTATTTATATTTTTATCATTATCTTTTGTCTGATGATATTGTCCCAATATCAACTCCGAAAAAAAAAAAATAGAAAAAAATATTTGAATAATCAATAATTAGTATTTTGTTATAGAAATTCAAAAAATAAAACAAAAGAGTTAAAAAAAAAGTTATACCAAAAAAAGAAGAACTTTTTTGTTTTATGTAGCATTCATTTTATTAAATTTGGTCTTTTTCCCTTCTATTGATTAAAAAAAAGAAAAAAAAAAAGAATTTTAAAATTATTTTAACTCTTTATGAATCAATTCACTACTGATGATATTATTAAAGATTTAGAATGTCTTAATAAACGTATTCATAGTAAAGAATGTACTAAAAAGAAAACAGTTGCAATTGAGTCGATACCATTTACTGTTGGATATTTAAAAAAAGAAGAGGGGTTTGCTATTATTCAGATTCAATCTTTTCAGTAATAAAAAGATAGTTAAAAATATTGACAAGTTAGGTTGGACGTTATTGTTATTGAAGGAATTATCCCTATAAAGACTATTGAATTATATAAATTCTTTTTACACTTTGAGACATATGTTCAATACCTTCCTTTTATTTATAAGTTAAATTTTATTCAGAAAGATAATATTTTTGATTTAATTGTAGAAATGGAATTTAATTTAATTGGATTTAATAAGAATGCTCTTTGTCTAAAAAGAGTTATTAAAGAATTTACAGATAAAACATATATTCTTTCATTAAGTATTACTCATGATAAATCAAAAATTATTCCATTTAGAGATAGTGCAATATTAATGCAAGCAATTACTCTTGAAGAAACTAAAGATGGTTGTCTTATATCTGATTATGAAATTATTCAACCTATTCCTTGGCTGCAATCAAACGACATTAACGAATCTCTTGAAAGGTTTAGTTATATCCCAATTAGAAGAATAAAATCATGTTTTGATTATTTAAAATATGATAAAACTGTAGAAAGAATAAACATAATCAATGCTATTACTACTGAGCGTATTGGTCTTGAACTAACTCTAAATGGAAAACATGATAGTGTTGGAGAAGTTTGGTATGATTCTAATAATACAAGAATTACATGTGTTGAATTTGTATGTGACCAGGCATCATTTATTGTTGAAGGTTCAATTCAAAAGATATGTGAATTTAGATTATCAAGAAAAACACTTATAGAATTAGTCTTTCAAGACCGTTGTAGAGTAATAGAAACAGCTGATAGTTTAACAACAATATTTCATAAGTCATGTCCTAAGTCATATCAAAATGATGGAGAAGACATTTCATTTTCTTCTTTTATTTATTCAGAAAAATGTGCTTTAGTTCATTTTAAAAGCTTATCCACTCTTTCTTCTCAAGAAGAAAATAAAGGGATTCAAAAATATAATTTTGGTCCAAGTTACATTTATGTTTGTGGTTGTGAAGGAACTTGGAATATTCAATTCAATGTTAAAGTAATTGCTAAAACTACTTTACCTCGTTTAAATGATAAAGTGGCTTTACATGCTATGTTAGAATTCTTAAGAAATATCGAACTTTCTTTTCAAAATGTTTCTCCTGTTCAAAATTATAAACAACCATTAACAATTATTACAAGTAAAGACCCATTTATTCCTCCATTATTAAAAATTCAATTACCTTTAATGGTTAAAATAAGTCGGTATTTTACTAAAGAAGATATCACTGCACTTTCTCGAACAAACAAACAACTAAAAGCAATGATGGAATATTGTAGTAAACTTATAATTCAAAATAAACAACAACAACTTCATCCTTTTTATAACACAGAATATCCTCTTCAAAACTCTTCTCAATGTTTTTATGAAGAATGGAAAAAGGCAACTCCAAAACATTCAGTATTAACAGGTCACACAAATTTAATCCGAGCATTAGATATTAGTGATGATTGTTCATTATTAGTTAGTGGAAGTTCTGATAGAAAAATTAGACTTTGGAATTTACAAGATGAGTCATCAAGAACATTTGTTGGTCCAAATAGTTGTTTGGTATCCACTAAATTTGTTATGAATAACTTTATTGCATCTGGATATCATTGTGGAACCATTAAATATATTAATTGGTCAGACTCTCGTGAGTCTCAAGTTTTTGATGTTAATGAAGGTAAATTAGAGGGATTTCTTCCGTTGAAGGATATGGACTTTATTGTTTGGAATGAAAAAATTATGGGATATAGATATTCTGACATGAGACAAACTTTATTATTTACATACTCTGGTCATCAAAGAAAAGTTCAAATTGTAAAACCATTTAATTCATTATTTCTTAGTGGCTCTGCTGATAGAACTATTCAATTGTGGGATCCTTCAATTTCTAATCCAAGAATATCTAAAATAAAAGGACATAAATCAGGTATTGTTGGACTTGAACAAATAAGTCCTTACACTTTTGTTTCTGCTGGAAATGATAGATTAGTTCATTACTGGGATATTAGAGAGTTAACACACCCAACTCATTCTATTAAGAAAAAAATTTGTAATATGACTTATAATAATGAGATGCTGATTTGTGGTGGTGAGAGTGGAGAAGTTTATATTTTTCCAACTGACAACCCAGCACAGTCTATCACTTTAAACTCACACAACACTTCTGGACTAATTAGTATTGCTTCAAAAAAGAATATTATTTGTTGTGGATTTAAAGATGGTACAATCTCAATGTGGAAATATTAATTATTTGTTTAATTTATATATGAAAAATATACATTTTTTGTTTCCTTTTTTTCTGTATTAAATGATTTGATTTATTAATATACAAAATGATGTAATCTATGAATATATTTATTAAACTATCTATAACTTATAGTAAAGTATTAATATAATGCTTCATGAAATTGCATATAATTCACTACAACTATAAAAAAATATAAGGGAAGGAATATGGTCTATTTTTATTAATCATAAATCATTCATCAATACATTATATGATACATATTATGAATAAATGTTAACATAATGAATATATTGTTAAAAAGAAAGAACAAACACAAAGAACAAATAATAATTGTGAATAAATGAAATAATAATGAGGCATGAAGAAAGAATAAAATGTAATACATTGCAAAATAGAAATAAAGTTTTTTTTAAGTTAAAAAATAGTTAATGAAATATCAATAAAATTGTTTTTATTTTTGGTTACTATGAGGAGGGTAGTACTATCATATTTTATTGTTTATTATATTTATAGAGTACGTTTGATTGTGAAATAAACAATATTCTATGACATTCATCTTCGTCTTAGTCTTAACATTTTAACTTCTTCGATGTTTTTAGTTTCATTTGTTAATTATTTAATTAACACAATTCTCTCTACAAAAAGATGCATTACAACAGCCACCACAAAAATAAAGAAAAACAAATAACCAAAGAAGAATTTCACATTAACCAAGAAATATAAATGATAGAAGATCAAAATAAAAAGTAATTAATTAAGTGTTAA